TTGCTCACAGCAAATTCCACCATGGAGTTTACGAAGACTTATGGCTAGAAAAGCTATACCAGGTAATTTACTACACTGTGATGCCTTTCTGTTCTGTTGTACATAGTGTCACTATGAGTCAGAGCTGTCTTGACGGCACCTGACAACAACACTGTCCAGTTCTGCACCATCCTCACAATCCTTGCCATGCTTGAGTACATTGTTGCAGTCACTGTATCAGTCCATCTTGTTGAGAGTCTTCCCTTTTTCGCTGACCAATTTTACCAAGCATGATGTTTTCTCCAGGGACCGGTCCCTCCTGGCAACATGTCCAAAGCATTTTGGCTACACTTCTTCCAGGACAGATTTGTTTGTTCTTCGGGCAGTCCATGGTATATTCAGTATTCTTCACCAACATCATAATTCAAATGCATCAATTCTTCGTCAGTCTTCCCTATTCAATGTGTGTGTGTGTGTGTGTGTGTGTATGCATACATATATGTATATATACATATGTATTTATATATAATAATAGCAATAGTTTTTTAATTTTAATATACTTTAGGAAACAATATACACAGCTGAGCTTTCCAGCCATTTGCAGATAACAACAGGAAGCTCCAATTACACAAATTTTGTTTATCACATTTTGTGATGGCCAAGAACAGCAGTCAGCACCAGACTTGAAGAATTAGCTACAGCACAAACATCCTTCAAAATGAAATGTAATAATAGCAAGGCAGGTAAACCAGGGTTTAATAAATGACAGCCACTTGGGAAGCAACTTAATCATTTTTTTTGAATTTCATATTTCATTAAATATCTTACATACAATTTTTTGTTAATATGCTTTAAACAAAACTTAATTATTTCAATCAAGTCTAAATATTCAACAAGAATAGTTCTGATAAAGAATCCCCAGGTGGTTCAAATTTTAATATGCATGAACTGAAGGAAATTAAAAATAATTTCTATTTGTTTTAATATGTTTATTACAACAGATACAGTTCACATTTGACTAGTTTTGTTTTCTCTTTCCCCTCCCACAACCATGTTCATTGGGCTATTTCCTTATATTTAAGCAATCAATGTCCTTTCAGCACACATGCCCATGCAGTACTTTTAAATCCATTCTTACAGTGTGCAAATGGATTTCAATAATTTATACAAACAAGTGGGCTTTGCTCAATCACTACGGTGTGTGTGTGTGTGTGTGTGTGTATACTGAATGTTTTTACATGAACTTTTTTCCATGAGTTATCAGCATACTTTTAAGTTTCATAAACATTGCCACAATTGTGCCTACAATATAGGAGTCACCTGGGGATCTTGTTAACATGCAGTTTCTGATTCGGTAGATTAGAGATGAGGCCTGAGATTCTGCATTTCTAATAAGCTCTAAGGTGCTGAACATGCTGCTAGTCCAGGGACCACACTTTTTTTTTTTTTAGATTTTATTGTGATTTGTGTGAAAGTTTACAGAGCAAATTCATCTTCCATACAGCAGTTCACTTATACTTTGTCTCATGACATTGACTCAGTCTCCCACAATGCAACAGCTCTTCTCCCACTTCCTCCCTGTAGCCACCTCTTCCCTGTGTCCTTCACTCCCATTCACTCCTGCCCCCTGAGCTGTCTCCATGTTCATACACAGCCCTTCTATTCTCCCATGATTGATCTCTCCAAGGGGTGTATCTACCTAATGTAAATGTTCAGCTCTTATGCCTGTCTTTCATTTGTCTGGAAGCCACAGGAGTGGGTTCAATTCCATACCTGTTCAGCTAAGGGCAGCTAGGGGCCATAGGCTCAGAGGTTCCACTAGGCTCTATCAGACCAGCAAACCTCGTCCTCCCCCTGCTTTTTTTTAATGATTTTGAGCTTTGTTCCACATTGTTCTCCCACTCTGTCCAGGATCTCCTACATAGATCCCCCTCCGAGTGGTTGACAGTGGTAGCCGGGCACAATCTAGTTCTTCTGGTCTCATAGTCATATAGGCTGAGGATTGTGTGGTATACCAGTTCCCTTGGACTAATTGTTTCCATGTGTCTTTGGTTTTTTTCATTCTTCTTTGCTCTGGATGAGGAGAGACCTATCGCTGCATCTAGATGGCTGCTTGCAAGCTTTTAAGATCCCAGTTGCTACTCGCCAAAGTAGGATGTGGAACAATGTTTTTGTGTAGTATGTTATGCCAATTGATAGGGACCATGCTTTTAATAACAAGGTTCCCTTTCTTAATAGCAAGAAACAGCCTTGTAGTTTCTGATCAGATTTAACAAGTGTAGCAGTGACTCTCTGAAGAATATTAGGAAAGGAAAAGGGACTGATTTGCTCTGTTTTCTCAGGCAATATGAGAGTAAATTTAACTAATTTTCAGAAATGTATCAGATTGGCTATAGATTTTCTTTATGAAATGTGGTATTACAGAAATATTATTCATTAATTTATATAAATTGACATCAAATGTGAAAGTATATGTTTACCCTATACTTGAGGGATAAATTTATGCCACAATTATCTATAGAGTAAATGTATGGTTGCCCAATAAAATGTCATCAGTTGTTTTTTGAGGTTGTATAGTGGGACTTCTCCAAGAACAGAAATTCTCTTGGGTTTCTGCTAGCCCCTGCTGTTCCCAGGCTTGAACAAATGAAGAGCCTTAGAGGCAGTGACTGAAATCACTGTGTATATATTAAAACTGGTTAAAATTCTGTTTAAAAAACACTTAAATTTTTGTTTAAATTACAAAGTACCTGTTGGGAAAATAATGGGAATAGCTCAGAGATATAAGAAGAAAATAGATCTTTCTTCTCTATGTAGCAACTTTCACTCTCCTGGAATAATCACTGTTAAGTTTGTTATGTAACCTCCAGGGTTTTTTATTTTCCCCCATGAAAATATACACAAATAG